CAATGTTTTTATCATTCATCAGATGGAAGAAGTAGTTTGAAGAGTGATTCAAACAATATTGATCCTCTGTGTCGTTATTGTTATAGCTGTGGTTTTGATTATCATGAGCGTGAGCTGCAGGGCAAGATGAAAAGAAAAAATACCATCTAAACTTTTCTAAAGACAGTAAGTTCCCCTCAGACATGCATTCATATAAACTCCTACACCTAAATGAATCGCGATTTGTTTATTAGCATCTCAACCGATTTGAATCGTCACATATTTGAATCGATTTTCAACCGGCTCGCAGTTAATCGTTACATCCCTAATAATCATACAATATTTCTTCAATGTTTTAATTGTAATATTAAATCCCCATTATTTTCCAAAAATAAAATTTGTTTAATTTTCATTAATTAAAAGATAAATTAAATTACTGTTTTAAAATGTAAATACACGACACAGAATTTCTGAGGAAAAATTCATAAGGCTATTGTAAGAATAAATGAAACATGTTTTTATGCTTTCAAATAATGCTAAAACAGAATTTGGTAACAATAAAACATAAGGTTGGAAAAAATAAAACATTTCATAGGGCCTTAAACGTAATTTTTGTTAAACTTTTGATACATTGATGTTAAATTGTTTAAGTTTCATGATTTTAATTAGATGTTTTTTGATTAATAAAATTTAATTTAACCATTAAAAAGGAGTCCAGAAAAATTAAAACGGAAAAAAACAGAACACCCTCCCCCACAAAGCCGTAAACCTAGGGGAAACACTGTACATAAAGCTATGTAACTATGGACCATAAAGCATTCCTCTGATCAGCTTGACTTGACTAGTAGTAGTTGATTTATTAAATAATTTTTCTTTATTACAATTTACTATATTTCTAGATTACTCATCACAGGAAGCCAGCTATAAACAATTTTTTTCCTCCTTTATAAGTTGGTTGCCAAGGTAAAACCAGTAGAGGCCAATGCCATGGATAGAGTATACGAAAAATATTTTGCACCATGTTGCTTAATATTTCCTGCAACATGACGGAATTAGCATCTGCCCTCCCACACACACTTCTCCTTATCTCACACACACAGTTATCAGCCTGTGTAAGGGTCTTAAAATCAGAGCCCCCTTCTCATACTTCTCCCTTCTGTTGCCAGCAGTCAGGTGCGGCTTCTATTTTTGACCCATGACCCAGTGTGAGGTGGTTGTAGAATGCTTGGCATGTCAATGCATGAGGCTCAGAAGTAGAAGGCCCCGACCTTCTGTCAAACCCCACACCCATTCTCCATTAACCACAATGTACTGTCAAACTCATCATATGGGCTTGGCAATGGACTCTTAGATCTAACACCTTCTTTATAGGTATTTTTCCACCACCATCTCTTTGGGTCAGTTCTCAAAGCAAAATTCCTCAAGGTAGGAAGCCATCATGCTGTTTTGCCATGTTCATTCACACATAAGGGGTTTCACCACCCGTTGAGCCTGTAGAGAAATCAGCATGGGTGTTAAACCCATTAGCCAGTGGGAAAATATGCCTCTGCTTTATGTTGAAGTTGGTTTCTTGTTTCATCACAAGGCTCATATATTGGCTTTAACATTTAGTTTCTCAATGTGCCTAACGGGCCATTCACATCGTGAACAATAAGTATAAAAATAACTGTATTTGCATACACACCAAGGGACAATTTGTTTATTCTAATGCACACTGTTGATAGGTTGTCCACTGCTTTAAATGCTCAAGCTCTTTAAAGTCAGGTGGACTCATGGCTGTCAATGTTTTTATCATTTATCAGCCTGGAAAAAAATAGTTCTGAAAGTGATTGGAACAATTTCGATCCTCTGTGCCGTTATCGTTATAGCTGTGGTTTTGATTATTATGAGCGTCAGTTTCAGTTATGTTGTCTGCTGCTTTAAATGCTCAAAGACTTTAATATTGGGTGGGAAAAAAAACATTATGAAAGTTATTCCAGCGATATTGTTCCACTGTGTTGTTACTGTTAAAGCTGTGGAGTGGACTTAGCAAATCTCATAGAATTAGAACGATTATTAAAACTTTATGGACATAAGCTTTGGACCGAAATCACATACTTTGAGTACTTTGAGGGGTTTGAGTAATAAATAATCAATATCTAACCTGTTGAAAAAAATATTTATTTAATGTGTCCATGTTAGATTTAATCTGCAGCAACACTATGAACTTTTATAAAGATACGTTTGGTCATTAACTTTAAATGCATCATTATGTAAACATATGAGCAGACTTCTCTGCATGATAGACCTGCGACTGGCAGATCAACGTGCCTCTTCATTTCTCTCCAATTCGGTAGGAAATTAAATTAAACGAAATATGGATATTGTTAACTTTGACAAGATGATTGACAGGGCAGTTTAAATGGTGACAGGATGCACGTAACTAAGCAACACAGCGTCCATAGGCCTATGTCCCAAAGCTCGCCTACTATTCTGCTACATACTCAAAAGTATGTACTTTTTCTTCACAAAATGAGTACATACTTTTAGGGCATAGTATAAGTAGGCGAATTGGGACGCAACATAGTCTTTGGGATTGGTCATGTGACAGTAACAACACGGCGGATATAGTACGTCCAAATTTCATTCATACTACCCATATTCATACTATATAGAACATACTTTTTTAACGGCCGTGAAGTAAATTCAAATTTCAACGTAGTACTCAGACAGTAGCCTACACGATTTCGGACGCGCCGATAGTTATCATTCTTGGTGTGAACGGGCTTAAACACTGCAACTATATTGTTCGTGATGCACTTTCTGGGAAGAAAAATGTAGTTTAAGCACTTATCATTTAGCACTCATCCTGTGATACTTTCATACATAATTATCAGTGCAGTTACACAATGCTCTTTTTATTTCTTTGGTATAGAAATCACCTACAAAGAGACTAATTTGTAAAATGAAAATTGAGACCTGATTAATCAACCAGATTTTGAGAAGACACTGTAAATGCTTGACTAACAATTTAGAAAGTGCTGTAGATTAGTGCTGCTCAAAATATCGATACGACGATATATCGTCACAGAGATTTGACGATACGAGTATCGATACAGCTGGCCCTGTATCGATATTGTGGCACGTGTGCAGCAGTGGATCACACTTCATTTGTTAAAAATTTTACAACGTTTAAAATTGAGTAGAAAAGTGCGAGGTTTCTAAAAAAGAATGAATAGAGCATATATAGGCTACAACTAGTGTTGTTTTTGGCGGCCTGTTTTAATTGTAGTTTTAGTCTAGTCTTTGTGTGAAGCTGTCATTTTAGTTTTTATTAGTTTTAGTCACGTTCATACTCTTTTTAGTCTAGTCAAGTTTTAGTCAACTAAAAGTCTGAGCATTTTAGTCTAGTTTTAGTCGACGAAAACTGATGACATTTAGTCTAGTTTTAGTCGACGAAAACTGATGACATTTAGTCTAGTTTTAGTCAAAAGATTCGTTCATTTTGCTGAACGAGACTCAAAGGTCCGAGTCGGTAAAATGATCCGAACTTCCCATCACTAATCTGTGTGTGTGACTGCACTTAACATCAAACTGCTTCCGTTCTGTTTCACACAAATGCTGGCACAGACGTGCATGTTCGGCTAGAGTCGCTTTGAACTCGTGCATCTTCGGAAGCGGAGCTGCGCGGAAAGAACTGCCGCGTGCACCTAAAAGCGAACTTGCGGACGCGTCGAGTAAATCAGCCTTGTGTGCGTTAGATACAGTGAAGACAGCGCGTTAGTTTAGAACTCTTCCATTTTTGTTTTTAATCGTAGAGAGTGTGTTAATTTGTGCAATGATAACCTACCAGCAATGTAAGTGATTTTTTATATATATATATTAGAATGAGTACATTACAATATAAATTTATTAGAATGAGTACATTATTATTTATGGGCTTAAAAACAAGATGCAAACAATCAGAATATTGTACCTGGTGAAGAGTGCCCAATGTAAACATGAAACATATGCCATTACCTATATTGAACTGTGGTACAGTTATGGAGGCCCTTCATAATGCAGAGGTCAGCTGCCTGCTCTGCCAATAGTTAGAAATGGCCCTATAGTATGCAGTGTTTAATAAACAGCTGTTTTACTAAATTCTGCTTTGGTGAAATTCAGTGCAGTCCTGTATCGTGAAACATATCGTATCGTGGCCTCTGTATCGTGATACGTATCGTATCGTGACTTTGCTGGTGATACACAGCCCTACTGTAGATAAGATATAAACTGGAACATTGTACACGTCTAAAGAAATCCATCATGATTGATATCTAGCTAGACTGTTTAGTAAGAGTAACCTTAAATGCCTAAAAGGAAATGAGCCAGAAAACCCACTTTGAAATTAAAGAAGGAACGTGACTAGTATGACTGGCATGATGAAATAAAACTCTCAACAGGGTTTGGCTGGGTGGAATATTGTATTGCCATTCACTTTTCCAGGTTCTATTCCAAACTACAGCGAGTGGGAGGGACCAGACAACGCAAATTTTATTACTGCGCTATTTTGTTACTTCATTGTGTCGCCGAGTGTGAAATGTTAAAGCATTAATAGTAGCTAAGTTTTGTGAAATTAAAAACATAAGGAAAAGAAAATAGTAAGTTTGACGGGTGTAATAAACATGAGACTAGCCTTTGTGGGGAGTATTAATAGACGGGAGCTGTAATGAAATCTTATTACTGGACTCCTCGCCCCTCGTCCGTTATTTTCGCAGTGAGGTCGAAAAAAGCTGGGCGCCGTTTTTATCGTTTTGTCTCAGCGATTCTATAATAGTATCTTCTACATAAAACGTCTATATTTAAAACAATTGCATCTGCCGTGAATGAGTCATAACAGAAGTTACAGGGCCATCTTCGTTTCAGTCCTCAGCGGCGCAGGTTAAATTCCTGTTCATAACGGCTGAAAACATCAAGGCTAAACAATCTTCTTAGTACAGAAAACCAATGGCGGTTTCTCAGGCCACACGCAGGACCATCGCACAAAATGAATGCCCACTTACCCAGAAGATGAAATTGAAGAAGAAGAGCAAGTATTTGATGCAGTTCGTGCAGCCTTCCACGCCCATGGTGTCGGTTTCTGGAGGATGTTTTTAAACCCGGTTAAAGAAGTGTCTCGATGAAGCAGCCGTTATGCAGCGCTCGCGCAGACTGAACTCCAATCTCCGTCTGTGTTGCTGCTGCTTGGATTCAGTCGACTTGAAAAAAAAATCGGGCAACACCCAGTTTCCTCCCCTTAGAGAGTACTCCTAAACACGGCCGAATAACAGCATAGAGACCGTACAAAAATAATTAATTAAGTAGTGAGAAGATTACATACTCGTTCAAAAATAAATTGGCTGCCTAATTCACACATAGGCTATCGCAAATCCTCATAATTCAAGGTTTATCCCAAACATTTCTGAACATTTTGATCAGTGTTGCCAAACCCCTCCCTCAGAAAATCTCAATTTTTCACAAAAAGTCGCCAAATATGAAAACAAAGTAAATACAGGTAAATTTGGTAAAGGT